TTCTCTTCTCTTCTCTTCTCTTCTCTTCTCTTCTCTTCTCTTCTCTTCTCTTCTCTTCTCTTCTATTCTATTCTATTCTATTCTATTCTATTCTATTCTATTCTATTCCTGGCAAGAATGGAAACTGCTCAGCTGATGGAGCTGGAGTTTTCTCAGGAGGGCTCCTTTAGCCCTTTCAGCAGGACCAAAAAGAGCGAATTTCCTCACCTTTTGATCAGACTTGGATACCTTTTGGGCAGGTTTTCCTCCTGTCCCATTTTCCCCCCATCCCCAAACTGCCCTGCCCACCCCGGGACAGTTAAGATCTGCAAGAGCTGCGTTGGCAGAACGAAAAGCTGGGAACGGAGAGAGATTTCATACCTTCCCCCGAGAAGACGCGCTGACTGGGCAGATTTTTCTCCGCAAGGAATTTAATAAACATGAGGGCTTTCAAATTGTTTCTAAACAACATGGCGTGGCCCTTTGCAACGGGAAAGATTACTGCACCGTAAGGTTTGTAACGATTAGCATTTAAATGCAACTTTTCAGTAGGAAAAGCAATTCCCATGAATCCTCTCCGCGGAACTTTTCCATTAGTCCCGTGAAGAAAGCAACTTTACAACCTCTTGCTTACTCCTCGTTTTAGTATCTTTGGAGGCTGGCAATGCAACAATGCCACCACCGGCTCCTCTGATAAATGATGGCTCAAAAGAGCCGATTCAGGCCATCTGCCAGGAGGACCTGACAGAGGCGAAACCGGGTGGACGGTTTGCCTCCTGAAAGGGCCGCCCGATGCCAGCCTCAGCCTGATGCGCCAGGAACCATCACCGAAAAATGTGCCAACCGAACTCAGGTTGTTTTCCTGACCTCATCAAAGCAAGGTTGCATGTTGCTTCTTCTTTTTTCTCGAGATGTTTTTGCAGCTTCCCAATTTGGCTCTCAAGCCTCAATTCCTTCTTGGCACTCTTGTTCTTTCTGCGCCAACTCAGAAAGCTCAAACTGCCCAAGGAGCCGCTGGTCCAGTTCTACAGAGGAATCATTGAGTCTGTCATCTGCACCTCTATAACTGTCTGGTTTGGCTCTGCAACCCAACAGGACAGACAGAGACTTCAGAGGATAATTAGGACTGCACAAAAAACAATTACTACCCACCTGCCTTCAACTGAGGACCTGTATACTGCATGAGTCAAAAAGGGGGCTGTGAAAATATTTACAGACCCCTCACACCCTGGACATAAACTGTTTCAACTCCTTCTCTCAAAACGACGCTACAGAGCACTGCACACCAGAACAACTAGACACAGTTTTTTCCTGAACGCCATCACTCTGCTAAACAAATAATTCCCTCAACACAGTCCAACTATTTACAAAGTCTGTAATACTATTACTATTAAACTTCTCATCACTTCTTATTGCCCATACCCTCCCACTTGTGACTGTAGGACTGTAACTTTGTGGCTTGTATCCTTACAATTTTTATAGATTGTTTCCTAGTATAATTTGATTGCTTATTGTACCCTATGATTAAATGTTGGACCTGATGATTCTTGACTCTTGACAAATGTATCTTTCCTTTTATGTACACTGAGAGCATTTGCACCAAAGACAAATTCCTTGTGTGTTCAATCACACTTGGCCAATAAAGAATTCTATTCTATTCTATTCTATTATATTATATTCTACTCTACTCTACTCTACTCTACAACACAACATAACACAACACAACATAACATTCATTCTTTCCCTGTTCTATTCTGTTCTATTCTATTCTAATGTTATCCTATCCTATCCTATCCTATCCTATTCTATTCTATTCTATTCTATTCTATTCTATTCTATTCTATCTTCGTTCAGCTACAGGGAGTCCTCGACATATGACCACAACTGAGCCTCAAAGTTTCTGTTGCTAAGCGAGACATTTGTTGAGTTTTGTCCCATTTTATGACCTTTCTTGCCACATTTGTTAAGGGAATCGCTGCAGTTGTGAAGTTAGTGATATGGTCGTTAAGTGAATCTGGGGTTCCCAATGACTTTGCTTGCCCGAAGATTATAAAGGGGATCATGTCACCCCTGGACACTGCAACCATCCTAAATATGAACCAGGTGCCAAGCGTGTGAATTTTGATCATGTGACCACGTGGGGATGCTGCACAGGGTTGTAAAAGTGTGAAAAACAGTCATAAGTCACTTTTCCAGGGCCGTTGTTAACTTTGAATCATCAGTAGATGAACTGTTGTAAGTCAAGGACTACCTATAGTGTGCCCAAATACAGTTATTAAAATATTAAAAAGAATTTAGAATTTGAATTAGAATAGGATAGGATATGGAATAAGAGTAGAATAGAATATGGAATTGATAGAATAGAATAGAATTTAGAACAGAATAGAACAGAATATAGAATAGGAATAGCTTTACTGGCTGGGGAAATCTGAAAGTTGCCAAGGTTGGAGACCCCTGGCTTATACGGGACCCTGATACAGTATATATAAACCGAAAGCCATTTGTTGAACGTCTTGAGAGAAGGACCTGAGATTCTTGGAAGTGGCTGGGCTCAGGTGAAAAGGACCGAGTTCCTCATGGGTTACAGGCATGTGTGAGGTGGCTATTTGCTCCACCTGGCTCCTTCCAGGGGTGAAGAATTTAGGAGGGTGAGAAAGAGAAGAGGAGCCTGTCAATGCAACCAGACTAAACAACTTCTGTCTGGTCTCCACTGATGCGCCTTCCTAAGGGAGGAGTTAAGTCCTTGGCCACTCCAGGATGATCTACTTCCAAGCTGCAGTCTCTTTTAGAACAGCCACTGGTGCTTTTATTACTTCACAGCTGGACTACTGCAACAAGTTCTTTGAGGCACTGCTCTTGAAGACTAGTTGGAAACTTAATAGGGTGCAAAGCACAGCTTTATTGGTTACCAATTTGTTTCCAGGTGGAGCTTAAAGCGCCAGTTATTACCTGTGAAACCCTACCTGGCTTAGCTACAAGCACCTGACAAGAACTCCTCCCAAGGTGATTTATCCTTCCTGTTCATGAAGAGATGCTCTGGGCTCCCCCTCCCAACCTAGGTGGATTTTTTTCCTTTCAAATTCCACCTCTCCCATCATTTAAAACATTTAAAGTAAACTTAAAGTAAAGTAAATTTAACATAAGTAAAATGCTTATATTCTGCTATTTCTTATTTGATCCTGTATTTACTGGTATTTTTTATATTATGATGATTATTTTCACTTAATATGTTAAAACTGTTGTTAGCTGTCAGGGACTTTTATAACTGGGTAAGATATTAGTGTTAGCAAATAAATAGATTGATAAAAGAAATAATTAACTAAATAAACTGAATTTACACAACAATCTAAGACACATAGAAGCATCTAACTCAAGTTAAAACTAAATAAGCTTAACAGAACCTGGAAGGGCAGAGAAGGATTAAAAAAAATGGTCAGGTCTCTCAATCACCTGTCCTGCAAGAGGTGGGACTGTGGAGCCCTGAGATGACTGAGGAACGACTGGAAGGTCCTATTTGAATACCTGGCGGTGGGGGGGGGGTCACCCAATGACTCCCCTCCCCCTCTAGAGTGCAGGACAAGGAATCACACAGCAACCAAGAGGATTAGGGGACAGGAGGATAAAACATACAATAAACGGTTGCAGGAACTGGGCCTGGCTAGTCTAGGGAAGAGAAAGAAGTAGGGGAGACAGGAGAGCAGCCTTCCAATATTTGAGGGGCTGCCCCAGAGAGGAGGAGGAGGGGGTCAAGCTATTCTCCAAGGCACCTGAAGGCCAGACGAGCACTAATGGATGGAAACTGATCCAGGAGAGATTCAACCTGGAAACAAGGAGGAACTTTCCTAACAGTCGAGAGCAATCAACCCATGGAACAGGAGATGCCTTCAGAAGTTGTGGGAGCTTCATCACTTGAGACTTTCGAGAAGAGATTGGACTGCTATCTGTCAGGAATGGTGCAGAGTCTCCTGCTTGGGCAGGGGGATGGACTAGATGACCTACAAGATCCCTTCCAACTCTGTTAATCTATTATCTGTTATTTAAGCTACAGGAAGACAAGTTCCAGCTGAATGTTAGAAAAATATCTTATGTTTGAAGGCTAGATTAGTTGGTCAGCAGGACCAATAGTGGGAAGAGTGAGGAGTTCAAGTAGAACAGGAGAAGCTTCTTGGATGAGAAGGAAAACGTCTTCAAGGAAAAACAGGAAAGTCCAGTTGCTTTTTGAAAAAGCATCTTCGGGACAACCATGACCTGGATGGAGGACTGAGACTCTCCATAGACAAGTGGAGGATTGGATGGCCGTCGCTCAAGTCCTGGCTTTAATACTTGACTGGACTCTTAAAACTCACATCTTACGGTTCGGTTGACGTGCAATAGATTTGCAGAGAAATTCCTTTGCCTAACCTCACTGTCTGTCTCCGCTTCGGCCTAAGGTTTTCCTGCCCTGACATTCAGCCTGAATTGATGCCCAAGTGCCAACTTTAAAAGGGCTTTACTTTCCCCCAGCTCTGGCCTCTCTTTCTCAAGAGACTTGGTCTCCGACTGCTCCTCCAGAAAGACACCCCCCTGCCGCCTTTGCTCCCCACCGTCTTCCAGGAAGGGTTCTTAATCTCCTATTAAAGAATTATGCTTGCATGAAATGAAGTTTCCAGGGGATTAGCCAATCGCTTTAGCAATCCCGCCACGTTGAAATTCTCCACTGACTCTCTTGGCAGAAGAGGCCTCCGGCGTGCCTGAACTAGTTTAATCACAGCTCTACACAAAAGAGGCCATTTTGGGGCCACGGAAGCAGAAAGCTTTGCTGAGAGAAGCTCACCTGGTTTGGGTTTGGAGAAACATCCTCCCATGGCGAGTCAAGCGACGGAAGCCGTCCGGCAAGGGAAGGACTAAGGGAGGAAGCGGCACCTTTAGCTCAGCCTTTGGGCAATGGGGACTTCCAAGCCAGCCAACAAGTGAGAGGAACTGGGGAAAGTCAACATGGTGGCCGCTGTTGAATGGCTTTCTGCAAAACCAGGCTTGTCGTTACTACTTTGGTCATCATGTGGCTTCTTGGGAGACCTGCGTGGGATAAAAAAAAAAATGCAATAAGTTGTAACTGGCAAAGCAAAGCTGGCTGAGGAATTCTGGGAGTTGAAGTCCACAAGTCTTAAAGTGGCCAAGGTTGGGGACCCCTGCCCTAGACATGGCCAGGGATGGGGCACTTCCACCAAGATGCCCCCTACTTGGAGAAGAGAGGTTGTCTAACTTTGAAACCACTCAGAAAGAACCAGGGTGGAGAAAGTTATTAAATCATATTCCTTGTGGAGTGTTTGTGGACTGGGGGTGGTAGGTGGGAGACACCAAAAGGTAAAATTTGAACAACTTGCAAGGTGCAAATGCTCCAACACTGGAAATTTTAAAGAAGAGATTGGATAACCATTTGTCTGAACCGGTAGAGGGTTTCCTGCCTAAGCAGGGGGTTGGACTAGGAGACCTCTAAGGTCCCTTCCAATTCTTTACTCTAATTCTAATTCTGAAACAATGGCCCTGCTTGCACAATCCCTCTGAAGCCCTGGATACCCTCTCGATATTTAAACCCCAGATATCCATTTTGTTCCCTGAGAACAGGAAGGGGACTCAGGAAGACCTGTCTGAAAAGAACGAAGAACCTTCTCAATTATTTTTAAGTCGTGGCCTTATTTATAGTTTCCTGTGAAACATCCGTGTGAAAATAGCTGTCTTGCAAAAGGAGAGAGAGGGAGAGAGAGAGAGAGACTCTCATCTTGCCTTCAAACGTTGCGGCTGCTCCATCAGAAACGAATGGAGTAGAGCTGGAAGGGAACTCGGAGGTCTTCTAGTCCAGCCCCCTGCTTAAGCAGGAGAATCGCTAGTACAATCTCAGACAAGTTTACTCTTCTTAAAAACCTCCACAGATGGAGCGCCCACAATTTCTGGAGGGAAGCTGTTCTTCTGGTTAATTGACCTCGCGGTTAGGAAGTTTCTCCCTAATTCCAGGTTGCTTCTTTCTTTGATTAGTTTCCAACCATTGTTTCTTGTCCTGCTTTCCAGTGCTTTGAGAAATAATTTGACCCCCCTCTTCTTTGGGGCAGCCCCTCAAATACTGGAACACTGTTATCACGTCGCCCCTAATTCTTCTTTTCCTTAGACTATCTACTAAGCTGAAGATCACTGGAAGTTTTGAAGAAGAGAAGAGACTGGACAGCCATTCTTCTGAAATGCTATAGGGTCTCCTGCTTGAGCAAGGGGTTTGACTAGATGACCTCCAAGGAGCTTTCCAACTCTGTTATTCTGAACTCCCATCTCTTCTAAGGGAAAGAATCCATGTAACACACTTTCCCAATTCAGAGCTTGGTTCTGGGAGAGCTTTTCTCCCCACAGACAAACATCTAGGGGGAAATGCAATCCGGAAAGAAACCCCAGGCAAGGTGGGGACTAAGCTCTGCTTCCCGCTCCCCTCACAGAGACACTTTGCCCTCCTCTGTGGTCACCACACATCAAAGAAAAAGGCCCAAAGTAGCACAATCATCATTAGACTTCATTCGTTCCCACTCCAGAGTTGAACGTTACCAGCGTATCCATGGGTGCCAGTAAATCAAGATGGCAGCCCACCATGGCATAAGGAAAGCTTTTTCCCATTTTAAGGGCATTGTGCTGCACATTAAAAAATGATCAGAGCTTGTATGTATGTATGTATGTATGTATGTATGTATGTATGTATGTGGTATGCCGCCCATCTCACTACCCAGAGTGACTCTGGCTGCCCCATCTTAACATTTTCTACCATATCCTGAGGTAAACCCTGAATGTAATAGGGCAAAATATATTCCTTGCTACCTTTTGTATGATCCAGGGGTTTACAAACCATGTTGGCTTGGCTGGTCCTCTCCTTCTGAACTGGGCTGTTAGTCCCTGTTCTTTCTACCTCTAGAGAGAGAGAGGGAGGGAAGAAACCGCTCCCACTTCCAAGAAGTCATTTAGGTATCTAGACAGACAGACAGACAGACAGTAGATAGAGGATGGATGGATAGATAGATCGATAGATAGATCGATAGATAGATAGATAGAAAGGTAGATAGGAAGGTAGATGGATGATAGATAAACTAAAAAGATAAGATAGAAAGATAAGATAAAAATAAATAAATAAAATAAATAAATAAATACAATTCTTTACTGGCCAAGTGTGATTGGACACACAAGGAATTTGTCTTTGGTGCATATGCTCTCATATACATAAAGAAAAAATAAAATACATTCATCCAGAATCACAAAATACAACACTTAGTGATAGGCATAGGTTACTAATAAATCATATTAGGGAACAAATAAAACGATATAAATGGTAAAATACAAGCAACACACTTATAGTCACAAGTGGGAAGAGATAGGCAATAGGAAGGATGAGGGGAATAATAGTAATACAGTCTTATAATAATTAAAATAATTTGACAGTGTTGTGGGAATTAGTTGTTTAGCAGAGTGATGGCATTCAGGGAAAAATTCCCCTTGTGTCGTTTTGAGGGAAGGAGTTGAAACAGTTTATGTCCGGGATGTGAGGGGTCTGTAGATATCTTCACAGCCCTCCTTTTGACTCGTGCAGCATACAGGTCCTCCATGGAAGGCAGGTTGCTAGAAATTGCTTTTTTTCTGCAGTTCTACTTGTCTGTTGAAGTCTTTGGGTATCCAAAGAGCCTGAAGATAGAAGACGGAGCCCTGAAGCACCGCCGGCCCCCTGCTCTTCCCCCAAATTGCCCTCCAGAGGCCTTTGGGCTGGTCCAGTGCATGCCTGGCTAAGCCCGGAGGTCATTCCACCCTCAGCAATCTTCCGATGTACCTCATTTCCTTCCTTATCTTTACAAGAAGCAAATGGAAAAAAAGGTAATATAAACCTTGAGCAGGAAAGGAAGAGGGGGAGGGCTGTGAAGTTTGCCATGTCATTGACCCACAGCCTTCGGAGGGCAAAAGGTAACACCGTTCTGACTAGTCAGGCTACATTCATCCGTTTCCAACCGAGTTGGAAGAAAGGAAAGAAACGATCTTTGGAGGTTCCTTGACGTTCCTCGATGAGATGGGTAGACCTGCCCTTCCCTCCCTAAAGCAACGTATGTTTAAAGCAGCTGTGCTTGGGCCTCTCTGCTTTTTATCCAAGGCATCCATTTTGCTGCTAAGGTCCCTAGCGGTCTTGTCAAGTTTTTACAGATTAATAGAGTTGGAAGGGACCCTGTAGGTCATCTAGTCCAACCCCCCCCCCGCCCAAGCAGGAGACCCTACAACATTTCTGACAGATGGCAGTCCAGTCTCTTCTAGAACAGAACAGAACAGAATAATGAATGCAATGCAATGCAATAGAATACAGTAGAAGGGGAAGTTCAGCCAAATCGGCTGGAAATCCACCCATGGCGTGGGTTGGAGAGCCTGATAGATTACAAGCTCAGCCCCATCAGTTCTCCCAGGAAGTTCCCCTGCCCGGCTGCCCCTTCAAGGGAGGGGAGCTGATTTCGGCTTTCCTTCCCCGGCAGACTCAAGACCAGAAGGACAGAGAGAGTAACCCTTGCCCTCCCGCCCAGGCCTGCCTCCTCCTGGCTGCTGCTTCAGCAAATTGGTCTCCAGATTAGATCTGCTGAACGGGAAGCCTGGCGGGGGAACGCCTGAGTGTGCTCTTTCCGAGGGGAAGACTGACAGCTGTCCCAGATTAATCATTAAGCAAGAGGTGCAATGAAGATTTCAAAGGTGCATCAATAAAATGCTGATTGATTCCTCAAAGGCTGAGAAAATGATGTCTCAGCTGAGGAGAGGGGGGAGGAAGAGAAGGGAGGAAGAGAAGGGAGGGAGGAAGGAAAGAAGGAAGGAAGGAAGGAAGGAAGGAAGGAAGGAAGGAAGGAAGGAAGGAAGGAAGGAA